AGGCCATAGGTTCAAAGTGGGTGTTCTCTTGGAAGACGAATGAGAAGGGCCTGATAGTCGACTTCAAGGCCCGTATGGTTGCGCGGGGTCTCTCTCGAATCCCCGGGATCGACTTCCACTACTCATCCTCAGCGTGACCGTCTGCAGCGTCTATCAAGACGGTGATTGCCGTAGTCACTGAAAAGGGCCAGAAACTCGCTCACTGGGATGTGAAGCAAGCGTACATCCACGCTAAGCTAAAAGAAGAAATATACCTCAGGTTCCCGGAAGGCTGTGGTAGCATGTCCGGCAAGGTGGTCAAGGTTGAGCGTGCCCTGTATGGCCTAAAGCAGAGTGGCCGTGAGTGGGGGTTTGAAGCTGCCGATGCCCTCATCGAGAATGGATACGAGCAGTGCAGGGTTGACCCGTGTGTCTTCCGGAAGGTGGTGGATGGAGAGGTCGTAGGTCTCATCGTGATGTACGTTGATGACATCTTAGTGGCGGCAGACGAGGGAGAGAGAGAGGAGTTGTTCGCTTCCCTCAAAAGAAGTTTCCGGTGAAAGATCTGGGGGAGTGTACCTGGTACGACGGGTGTGCCATCGCCATGGATGTAGAAAATGGCATCACCAAGCTGTCCCAGACAGCATACATTGAGAGCATGCTGAAGCGGTTTGATGTGACCAGGACCGCGTTCACCCCTGCTGCCACCGATGCCGACCTAGGGCCGAAGAGAGATGACGAGCCCGCGGTGGATAAGTCTGTGAGGGAGGCGACTGGATGCCTGATGAGGACTAAGCTGACGAGGCCAGACATCGCCCTGCGTCTGAACAAGCTCCAGAAAATCGCCCCCTCACCCACCGGGAGGATATGNGTCCCAGACAGCATACATTGAGAGCATGCTGAAGCGGTTTGATGTGACCAGGACCGCGTTCACCCCTGCTGCCACCGATGCCGACCTAGGGCCGAAGAGAGATGACGAGCCCGCGGTGGATAAGCCTGTGAGGGAGGCGATCGGATGCCTGATGTGGACGAAGCTGACGAGGCCAGACATCGCCCTGCCTCTGAACAAGCTCCAGAAGATCGCCCACTCACCCACCGGGAGGATATGGAACGCGCTTGTGCGGGTCATGTCCTACCTGAACTTCACGAAGGACTTCGGGATCACCTTCGTACGGGGATCAGGACTTGACCTAAGCGTGTTTGTCGATGCCCGCTACGCTGACAACGAAGTAGACAGGCGTTCTACGACCTGGCTAGCTGTGACCGTAGGTCGTACCGTAGTGTGTGCATCCACCAAGACACAGCCAGTAACGGCTCAGTCGACCTCGGAAGCAGAGTATATGGCAGCCGGGGAGGGCGTGAAGGAGGCGTTGCTTGTGCGTGACGTTCTGTCGTTCATAGCGCCCGAGACGAGTGGGGCGAAGATCAAGGTCTTTGAGGACAACCAGGGGGCTCTCGCCTTAATCGAGAACCTGTTCAGCTCAGCGACGAGCAAGCACATCGACGTGCGGTTCCATTTCATTCGCGAGCTATTCAAGTGGGGCAAGATCACTGCAGGGTATGTTCCGACTGGAGAGCAGCACGCCGACATGCTGACCAAGGTCCTTGGCAGAGAGAAGTTAGAGTACCACCGGAAGGCTCTGATGAACCTCCCGATGTAGTGTTCTCTTGTTCTGTTTGGTTTATGTGGTGGTTTTAGCACTTGGCATGTATGACCATGGTACGTCACGCAGGAAGCGTTGTGCCGGCGCGTCACCCGCGGCTGGAGCCTAGAAACGCCGACAGCGTTGCTTCGGTTGTGTAATCAGCGTGACCGGTTCAATCTGTCCTGCCTTGGTCTTGTGTTGAAAGTGCGGCCGTTAGAATCCTCTGTGATAGCGCCGGTTTTCTATACTTAGGGTGTAGACGAGGGTTTTCGATCCGGTTGGCCGGGTTTCCCTCGAGCCTGTTGTTGTTTTGAGTCCCTTTGGTAGATCAGGGGTATCCATGCCCCACGTGAGGTTCGCCATTTTCGTGCAAACCGGGGAGGGTGTTCGTGTGTTTGGATACGGACTGGTTAGATCTACCGGCAACAACAGAGGGCACGCAGATGGGGCATATGTACACCTTGAAATGGTTGCATGTGCGGGGACCCCTCGAACTCCAAAGAGTGCTTCACTTCTCCCTACTCCCCTTGCGTGTCTAATACAAGAGTTAAAACGTCTTCCCCTTCCAAGTCAGGGACATAAATGAACAAGCCCCTCTGCTTTCGTTGTGATGGATTGGGACACGCACAGACTACAGCAGTAGATAGAGTGCCTTGTCTCGTGTCATGCGGAGAGTTATTACGCGAAAAGGAAAACGTTCTGCTGTCGGGTACCAATATTAGACTACCTGCTGCTCTATCAAGCGTAGTGCCGCTGTCGATATGCATACACCTGCGTCCAAAGCTGCGTTTAAACCTTGTTGACATGCGGTAGGTCTGCATGTACAGTCGGCCTGTGCTATGTGTCTTCCATGCTGTCAATCAGTTGTGACGTGTGTCGGCCTTGATCTGTGCGTGATTGAACTTGTGTACCTGTTGCTGTGCGTGCTGCTGCTTCCTAAAACAGCGTGCGTGGTGGATACATGCGTGCTACCAAAGATGCGCTACCCTTGGCTTGCGGTAGGTCTACCAGTACGGCTGACGCGTGCTGCTCCGTGCAGCCAATCAGTTGCGACACGTGTCGGTCTTTATGATGCGGTTACGCGTGACTGAACGTGAACCTTCTCCGGGCGGGTTCCGAGCTAAAGACGAATCACCTTTCCCACCTCGGAGAAGAAAAAAAAAAAAAATTGACTTCGCAGATCGTTCTCAAACGCCCAAAAACGACGTTTAAAAAAAGTTCCCAAAAAAAAAAAGTTCCCCTTCAGCCCGAACTTTTTTTTTCGCCGCATTGCCGAACTTTTTCGCCACGGGAATCGTCGCCAATCGATTCCGCTTGGTCGAATTAGGGGGGGTAGAGCCACTCAGAAAGTTGGTCAGACAAAAAGTGGTGGTGGGAAGCGGGCTTGAAAATGCTGCGCGGCCAGGGCCCAGCGGTGACTGCCGCTGGCGAATGTACACGCATCATGTATGCTGGCCAAACAAGATACGAGGTTATCCACAAGTGGTCCCCACACGAACGAGGAATCAAGCTTCGCACCACCTTGTTGGACAGCAAGAGGAAGGGCAGAAAAGCCGCGGAGAACACAGGCTACTGCGAGGCTAGCGAAGTGGTTTTGTCCAACTTGGCCCGCGAAAAGGCTGACGCCATCATGGCGGGCAAGCGAAACGCAGCTCGGAAGAACGGCATACCACAAGGCGGCGGAAGCGGGGGTTGCGGGGCAGACAGGGTTATGTCCTGCCCC